TGCATTTCTCCTTCTTTGGAAAGTTTCCTACATTTTTTCTATGTATATGGAGAAGTGGAAGCCAAAAATCTGTTCATCAAAAAGCGCATCTCCGATTTGTAACAGTAATGAAAAATCAAATAACTCTAAATAAAGAATGAAATTTTGAAAAATCAGAAAGATGGTTATTGTGATCTTTATGAGTTAGTTCACACTTCTATCATTGAGGAAACCGATAACAAATAACACGTATTATTCTCTTGGTTAATGAGATGAATAATTTCTTTATTTTCCAATCAAATTACGTGCGTTTGGTAAGGAAGAAATTACAGACCACGGTATTTTATTCAGAACTTCTCGTATACGTTTTTCCCATAACCTTTTCCTTTCGGTTTTTAACATACAGTCATATAAACATATAGGTTATCACCAACTGATAAATTCGCGTCAGTTCTAATTGCCATTCGAAGTAGGCATAAATGAAAATAATAGCTCTCTGATCGTGCTCGTGAGAATGTGAAATTTTTCAAAGATACATTGAACTGATAGTTTTTTTGCCGTTGTACAATGTTATCATCCTCAAATTCCTTGGGTTGTGTGCATAAATATGACAATAATAATTATGAACAGTGGAGAGAATACATTGAAACTCATAAAAGGTAGGTTTTATTTTCATTCCAATATTTCATTCCAGGTAGGGTAGGACTTTCGAGGGAAAGGGGTTACTTTGTGTAATCACAAAGGATGAAAACTTATACAGTTTATACAAATGACTGTGTTAATGGTTCAGCATCTACTGATAATAGCAGTCTTGAATTGATATCTATGCACTGTATAGATCATGATGATATCATTGATGCAGCTAGGTGTTTGGAAATAAGAAAGTCAGTTGGGCCTGATAATATACCAACATTTATATTCATCTTGTCGACTTCTTGTCCATTGAAAACTATCTTTCACCTGTCTTTGAGAAGCAAAAAATTTCCTGACACCTGGAAAGAAGTAAAGGTTATTCCAGTCTTCAAAAAAAGTGACAAAACCGATATTATCAAGTACAGGCCGGTGGTAGTGTTATCTGCACCAGCCAAACTTTTCGAGACTGTCATTGTCAAGCATCTCTATAGATGAGTTTCTCCTAAAATATCACAGTTCCAACATGGCTTCATGAAAAAAAGATCCACTGTTAGTAATCTTAGCAATGTTACCCAATTCATAGCTGAAAACTTGGATAGTCATGCTCAAGTAGACATAATATACACCGACTTTACTGAAACTTTTGATAAAGTCTCACATCAAATTCTTCTAAGAATCCTAGAATATGACTTTGGTTTTCATCCCAACCTGACAAAATTTTTCAGTTCATATCTATCTAATCGAAAACAAAGTGTGATAGTGAAAGGGCTTAAGTCCAGTCCATTTATTGCATCGTCTGGAGTTCCCCAGGGTTCCAACTTAGGTCCTTTGTTACTTATTTTATTTATCAATAGTCTTGTAAAAAATATCACGTCATCTTGCTAGTTGTTATTGGCATCTACGAAACGATATAAATAACATCGTTGAGTGGTCAAAAAAGAACAAATTGTTATTCAACGTTCAAAAGTGTAATACTATGACATTCTCCCGGAAAAAAGACAGTATAACGTACAGCTACGAGATGGACTGTATAAAACTCAACAGAACTCGAGAAATAACAGACCTTGGTGTTAATTTTGATTATGAATCATCATTTAAATCACATATAGTGAATATAACAAACAAGATCTCAAAGATGTATGGGTTTGTAGTTCGCAACTCTAGGAATTCAACAATAGTACCTTCATCAAACATTTGTATCACTTTTATATGAAGCATTTTGGAATATGCTTCCATTATCTGGTGTCCTCAATATAATTGTTACAAGTATAGCGTTGGAAGAGTTCAAAACAATTTTCTTAGATATCTTCACTTCAAAGAAACAGGTAACTATGACCTTGATATTTCCAAAGTAGTGCTACTTGAAATGTACAACATACAAACCCTCGAGAAAAGAAGAGTGTTTGCATACTTAATATACTTTTACAAGATACATAGTGAAGTGAATGATCCCTGTCTTTTGTCAAAAATCAATTCCAAAGTACCTGCTTATGAAAAACGATTGTTCGCACATTTTATATTGAATTGGCAAGAACAAATTATTATCAAAATGCTCCATTAAATGAAAAATGTGCAATGCCTATAATAATGTATAAAATGACTTTGATATCTTCTTCCAAAATCTTACTAGTTTTAGAAATAGGTTGTATGAAATTGTATAACTCTTGTTGAATATTTTTTTATAACTTTTNTAACTCTATACATGGATGTGTAGATCATGCAAAGAAGTAACTTTCAGACACAAACTGAAAGAAAGTCCTCCTGAAACAGCTACTTTCATATAAACATTGAATTACACGAAAGAAAAAATTTCTTTCGAAACAAATACTTCTATATGAACAGTGTTCATACTTCTATATGAACAGTGTATCAGATGGAGTAGTAGAAAGCCAAAAACTTTCCCAAAAATTAACCACTCCTAAAAATATAACCCTTTCGATTCAGACTGTGATATCTTCTTCCAAAATCTTACTAGTTTTAGAAATAGGTTGTATGAAATTGTATAACTCTTGTTGAATATTTTTTTTATAACTTTTTTGTCATTTTGTTGTATGTACAAATCTATGTGTGATATTTACCTTTCCTACTCTGTAACTGGGCCATGGTCTGTAGAGTTTGTGAACAAATAAATAAATAAATAAAAAATCACAAAACTAGTAGTTAGATACCTATATTTCCTATTCGTAGTTTCCAATAAGGAACACGCAGATATTTTTTTATTCTTTCGAATAATTGATGAGGTCCCCCGATATCTTAAACAAAAAGAGAAATTTTCCAATTTTTTTTCTTTGAAATATTCCTTGAGTTCGAATAACTTCATCCAAACGCTAGCGCCTCTCGTAGTTATCGTATGAGTTTTCAGAAATACTCGACCACAATCATAATTGAATATCAATAATAAAACTTTCCATATGTGAATTATGAATAATAAAATCACACACATTTTTATCCCCTGAACCACAGTAATGAAAAATTTGAACTGAGTTTCATTGTGATAAATTGGTTAAGGCTGTGACGGCCGAGATTTTCAGTGTTACTATCTCCATTCGAGTGTGAAGGCCGTCGTAGTTCAGAACTGTATCCTAACGTTTCGACAGCACTAGTGGCTGGCTTCTTCAGAGGTTTTTTCTATTTGATGATTAACTGATGACTGGTGATTTCCAGTTTGTAGGTTGTATTTATGTTGACTCAGTTAGTCCGCCTCTCTTGTTGATGCGTTGCTGTGAAGATAGTAACACCATGTTTTATTGTTTTTATCGTTTTTCGAGACTCTTGACGCTCAACAATTCCTAAAAAACAGATACAACCATTCCTAACCGCAAAAGCGTCACTCAATTCTGCACCAGTCTCTAGGAGAGTTAACTCTCTGTTGAAGACTGGAACGTCTATGAAAAAAACAGAGCGTTCATCTTCTTTAACTCTCTCCTGCTGTTACAGGAACGAAGGTATTACTCGACCCATTCACAACTGAATGGAAAGATCATTAATGAGAGAATGAATATAGTCAACAATTTATTAGAATATAATAAGCTTACATTCTTGCATAATACTTCCCAAGTTGAAATTTCGTCTACCAAAAGTATTAAATATTTAGGAGTATTTTTAGATAAGCACTTTAAATGGTGAACGTATATCAATAATATCATAAAAAAACTGAGATACTTACTGTATAAGGATATTTATCAAATATCCTGAAAGTGGAACAAATGAAAATAATTTACCATTCATTAGCGGAATCGCATTCATTATATGGAATCGTAGTCTGGGAGCAAATAAAACTTTGTTACGAAATCTTGAAACTGTACAGAAATATTTCTTTTGGAAATTATGTTCAAATCTGACATTTTTTAAACATAAACATTGTTGGTTATGATCACATGATTAAACGACTATTATACATTGTTATTGACTAAAGACTGTTAGTATATATCATTGATGTATATTAAGTGATAACTTTCATTCTTTTCTTTTCTAATCTTTTCCCCCTCTTTTCTCTTAACCACAATACAAAGCAGTGCTTGGCTAACCCTTTATTTATTTTCAATATCGACATTGGTTACCGTAGTTGTTTTGGCAAATAAATATTTTTTTACCGTACTGGTCAGGCCCCACACCATGGGGTAAGTGATCATTGGATCCGATAATCATGTGCCCTGAGGAAGCGCAGTGCAGCGCAGCCTTCTGCATTTGTGCGGCTAAGATTTCTGCCTTAGCGCGGCAAACCGGTATGATTTTAAGTTTCGAGAGTAGAGAGGGCATCATTCCACTGAGGACTCCAATAATCAGAACGACCATCTTGACAGAGTGGTCTGTGTAGAGCCTGTGTAGAGCCTGCCTTCTCTTTTCGAACGATATTTGTCTCGCCAGGAGCTGAAAACTCCACGACAAATATCGTCTCACTCTGGCGGTCGAAAAGGACTACAACAGGCTTATTAGCTTGAAGACACCATCCTGGCAAGCCATGATGAACCCCTCAGTTTCAGACGTTAGCCCACTTGACCTGAAAAAAGCGAACCTCAGGCGCTTTGATAAGCCAAGGTCTCCAATGTTATTGAAGAAGATCCCATGCATTGGCTTATCCTTGTGTTTCCGCAGAAGTGAGGTTATCTCTGAGGCTTTTATATGAGCTTTTTGCTGAACAGGTTCCAACTCGGTGACAGAGTTGTGGTCACCTCGTTCAGTGTCCAAAACTAAACCGAGTTCATCAGCTGCTCGGCAGCTGCCCTAAAGAGAAATGCTCCAATTCCTGCTCTCTCATGGTCACGGATCATGCAGAAATAATAAAAAACAGAACTTCAATTTCGAATATTATTCCGTTTTCACTCTATTTGTGTGTACAATATTAAATACTTGACTGGCATATAAAATATTGGTTTTACTTGTTTCAGATTTAGGCAATCCCGTTTCAACGCTAGACGGTTGAGGAAGAGAGTGGTTTTCAAACATGGAGACTGTAACGTTGTGCAAGGACATGTGGCGAAGCGACGTAGAAAATATTTACAAGATATATTCACGACATTGGTGGATGCCCAATGGCGCTGGACGCTGTTGGTGTTTGCAATGAACTTCCTGTTATCTTGGTTAATATTCGCTACAGTCTGGTGGCTTATTGTATTTACTCACGGAGATCTCATTGAGGAACATTTGGTGAGTTGTTTCTTCATTGAACATATCTTACACCCATTGTACCCACTATTTTGGATTATAAAAGCATCAAAAAGCTTTTGAATGGACGGAAAAAAAGATATGTGGTAATATTCTTATAAACGTCAACAATCACATTTCAAATATATTGTTTCCTAAGCTTCGTCAATAATGCGACTTTTGCTTAAAAAAAATTGTATACGTTTCGAGACAGAAGAAGGATAGTGCGCGGGTAGAGCATCATTTAAGACAGTCATGTCAAAGATACGACCCGCAGGCCACATCTGGCTCCAAGTCGTATCACTACGGCTCGCGATCGCCATCTGTCATAGAAAGAAGCCAGTACCAATTCAGTTCTAGTAAACAACCCAATTAAACGTATTCATAAAACACTTTATTGTCAATAATGTAGAAGATTAAATTCCCTACGACGCTTGTTTCAAATTTTGTTTATACGTTTCGAGATAAAAGGAGGTGAGCGTGCGGTTAGAGCATCATTTAAGGCAGTCATGTCAAAGATACGGCCCGCGGGCCGCATCCGGCTCCAGGTCGTATCACTACGGCCCGCGATCGCCATCTGTCACAGAAAGAAGCGAGTGCCTAGACAAGCGAGAGAGTGTAAGTTAGATATCAATTTAGTTCTAGTAAACAACCCATTTAAACGTATTCAAAAAACACTTCATTGTCAGTAATGTAGAAAATTAAATTCCCTACGACGCTTGTTTCAAAATTTTTCTAAACGTTTCGAGATAAAAGGAGGAGAGCGCGCGGTTAGAGCATCATTTATGGCAGTCGTTGTAAAGATATGGTCCGCGGCCGCATCCGGTTCCAGGTCGTATTACTACGGCGTAAGATCACACTGTGTCACTGGAAGAAACGCGTGCCTAGACAAGCGAGAGAGTGTTAGTTAGGTACCGATTTAGTTCTAGTAAACAACTCAATTATATGTAGGTTCAAAAAGCACTTTGTTGTGATTTTGACTACGTTAGTTATGGATTTTCATCAAGTATCGGCCAATTCCATCATATAACTCAATCACAGACAGTAACGCTCTTACATTTTATACATAATATTTCAAGAGTTTGAATAACTACCCGGAATTAAAGAAGCATGCGGTACGCATTCTGCGCATGTTTGGTAGTACCTATTTATGTGAGCAGATGTTTTCCGTCATGAAAATAAATAACAACAAACATCGCCCAAGGCTTACGAATGAATATGTGTGATTGATGACTTGTTTATTTGGTGGTAATTCATGATTACTTTAATGAAACGAATAAAAACATTTCAGTCTAATCACCACTAGTTAATTTTATTTATACGACCGGTTTCGGGTTCAACACCATAATCAAGCATTAAACTAAAATGTGAAATTTGAAACATTAGTTAACATAGGACAGGTAGTTAAACGAATCAGGGTGCCAACTTTAAAATTCAACACTGAAGATTATAGGGGTTGTTAAACTTATAAATTCAAGAGTGGAGACCTACATAAATCGAGTTGCTCGTTTAGGGGTATATATTTCTGGTTTTTAATTGATTTGTTAATTTCCATGGCTTCAAACAAATTCATTTTTCCCTTCATTACATATGTGTAGGATTTTGAGGTTATCTTCATTTATTTTGTCTTTCGATTCTTGAAGATGTTCATACATTGTAGATTTTTTGTCCAAAGAGATGTGTTCACCGAGCCTTACGTCAAAATTTCTACCGGTTTGGCCTGTATACACTGCAGAGCATTCGCCACACTCTATTCTATATATACCTGATTTATCCATTCTATCTCGAAGAAAGGTTGGAGATTTGTTTCTCTTCTATAGATACTTTCATGGGAGGTGTTCAAGTGACTTGGCACATTTGACTCCTGTAGTGCTTGTGTTTTGTTCTTAAAAAATATTTCTCTGTTAGACCAGTTGAAAATTCACCACTGGAGTTGTGATAGATCGTGGTCGAATGGATCAAACGTTTCGTCTGCTACTGTGGCAGACATCATCAATAGTATGTGCGTTGGCGGCGACAACGAAGCACTTACTACATGATGTCCGCCGCAGACGAACGTTTGCTACTACAATTTCCATTGAACCACGGCCTACTAGCCCCGAGTTTGTTCTCTTCACTCTTCAAATCCTGAAGAAATTATCTTATATTTTCAAAAAATTAAAATCGATGTGAAAGGTGAAGTAAATATTTAGGGCAGAAAGTTAATGAGATTCTAAACAATCTACCAATGAATTAAATATAGGCCAGTGAAGGATAAGACCAAATAGATGACTTCGACCCAGAAAAAATGTGAAAATAAAATTCATTTTACTCACTTCAATGAAATGAATGGAAACACTTTTGTCTAATTTCCACTAGTTATTTTATTTTGGGAAAGGAAGTTTTTGGCTTTCTACTACTCCATCTTGATACGAATTAATCACCCCTAATAAATATAACCCCTTCAATTATTTTATTTTATACTTGATAATGGGATAATGGGTGTTTTCATGCATTTTATTAAAGTGACTATGAATTTGTACAAAATAAATACATAGACCATTTCACCCACCTTAATCACACGAACAATCGGATCCTGCAAACATAATCACTAACCATCTAACTTCAAAATTTTACGGAATGGAAATATGCGCTGAAATCTTTCATAGAGCCGGATCTGTACCAATTCATATGTTTGTCACGATCAATGAATGTTGACATATGACGACAGTTGACGTATTTTGCCGTGTAAATACAAGATTTTTTCAAATAGAATTATTAGAAATTCTAAAAGTGACTAGTACTTTGTAGATATTTGCACACATGTGATGTTTTCAAAGTAAACAGAATAAATGTGTAGAGATATTTCCAGTTTGAAGTCCGTTTGAAAAATTACACACACGACTTGTTGAATGTTGAGAGCATAGAAGCAAAATTTTTAACGTACATGGAATAGACACAAAAATGCGTTGTAGTCTAATCAACAAGTTCAAAAACATGAAAAATAGAGATAAAGGTCCTAAAAATATGACCGATAGTTCATTCGATTGTGAAGCAGCTCTAGAAAAATGTTTTTGAAGGATTTTGGTGCAGGTAAAAAATTGCAATTGTTATTAACAAAATTAGATTTAAAAAAATGGTATTTAGTTTTTCGTTTATAACTTAAAAAATTTTTCAAAAATTTTTAATTTCTCTATTTGTTTAAATTAATTTAATGAACAAATTATGTAAAAAATTCATATCCTATGTTAATAACTGCCATTGTTCAATGTGAAAACAGACATAGCTAAATATCAATTGATAAATTAAACTCATCAACAATTTTTAGATACTTCATTTTGCAATAGTTATAACAAATCATAATTAACAAATTAATGAATTTTCATGAACTTTTATCGCAGGATCGTATGAAGTATATATATTAAAAGGGCTCCACGAAGTTTCAAATTTATAGGCCAATTATTTATACCTTTTATCCCATTATTTATGTCAACGGAGATTGGGAAAAACTTTGTTAGTTAACAATTGAATAACTTTTTGAAAAATTGGTGATAAAACTGTTTTTTCTACGGGATTCGATTCATTCAAGTGTTAAGAAGATACTAGATTTCTTTCAAACTTTTGAAATGACATTTTATGTTATAAAAAAATTATTTATTTTGATAAACTCTCTTTAGCGGCAGCGCGCGCATGCCGTAACAGCCGCGCGGAATCCTATTTTCAACGTCAAATTAAAATTATAAATAATGGAGATACAGTTTCGGGAGTCTGGACTTTTTTATCAGAAATTTCCTTGCTTAAATATTAATATTTTTTGAGTTATCAACTAAATCTTATTTTTTTATTAACAATTGCAATTTTTCACCTGCACCAAAATCCTTCAAAAACAGTTTTCTAGAGGTGATCCCGCATCGAATGAGCTATCGTTCATATTTTTAAGACCTTCATCTCTATTTTGCTTGTTTTTGAACTTGTTGATTAGACCATTGATGCAATTGTTCGAAAAGAATTATAGGAAAGAAGGCTCTCAGTGTGTGACACGGAAATATTTTTTATATCTGTTCTGTACTAGACATTTTTTTTTTCTTGCACTTTCACGGCTTATATCTAACTTGCTAGTTGACTTTTCATACAAATTTTCAATAAATATAGTTTGAAAACTGAAAAACACGCTTTTAAATAACATCGAACTAAAAAGTTGAAAACATGTTTTGGAATAAGCTTAATACAATAACGAACGAAAAATACTGGTATTATTGTAAAAAAAGCGACAAGCGCTTGATTTCCAAAAAATATGGCACAAAGCGTCCACGCTTTTTTCACAATAATACTATTATTTTTCGTTCGATATTGTTCCAAGCTTCTTTAAAAAAAAATTTTTAGCTTTTCAGTTCGATGTTCTTTTAAAGCGTGTTTTTTACTTTTTTAAACTATATTCATTTTTTAGTTTCGTATGCTATAAAAGCGTGTCTTTTAGTTTTTTTAAACCATATTTATTTTATCTAAACCTTGGGATCAATCAGCCGTATATTGTTCAGAAAAATGACCATTGACATTTTCCGATTCCGAAGAGGGAGTCTGAAAATCAGCTACCAAGCCCAAAGAAGATAGCAGGCGCGCGTGTTAATAAAAAAAATACACTTTTTTCGAATGAAGAAATGCATGTAAAATGAGTTTGAATTATATCAAGGATGTTACGTAGAGCGCCATCTGCCCGCGAATAGATCAAGCAATAATGTCGATAACTCTGTCAAATACAGATCCCGATCTTGAGAGTAACAAACAAACAAACAAACATATATACATACATTCAGGTGAAGCTAATAAAAGCGTTTCAAAAATATGAAGTGATTTCAAGAGGATTTGTCATGAAGAATTTAACAAAAAACACAAGATTTTGAAAGAGCACCTATACAAGTAGTGAGTAATTTTGAAATAGTAGTGTAACAAAATTGTTGACTTCATTTCAAAGGATACATAATATGTAGTCATGTCAAATGAATTGTTTCTTTGAGAATCTGAAAAACTTTTTCAAACTTTGGAGTTCAAGGAACTTCAATAGTATACGAGATCTGTTGAAAAAATAACAAGTAATACAAGTCGATTAGTTCCGTTAGCAAAAAAATTGAATACTCGCTATTCGATGAAGTCGACAAAGGACGTTTATTACCGGTGAGAAAGTTGTTAAAGTGCTTCAAAAGATGATAGTACATTTCGTCGATTTCCTCACAATAGAAACCCACTCTGATGATTTGGCCCGGTTGCAGAAAGTTATAGTGAATTACACCAGCCGCTGACTACCAGACAATAACTATGACCTGTTTTGATGGGTTTTCGCCTAGAGGAAATGTCAGGGTGGCTCATCGGTCTCCAACCAGTGTCCTGAACGTCTCATGTTGTCATAGCGGACACACTTTTATCACACGTGACGATCCTATCCAAAAAGTATGGTTTTGGTTGCACAAAAGAAAATAGAACACAATACAAAAACCAATTCCATATTTGCAAGCCATCTTTCGGTAGTGGGACATGAGTTTATCCACAACTATGACGTATAACATTTGGAAGAGAAATGTCTGAAACTCGATGTTTTGGAAGGCTCGGAAATCTATAGATTTAACAATTTGAAAAATGAACTGGACGACTAAAAAGAATCAAATTATTTCCCTCTGTTGAATTTCTTTTCTGATCATTAGTCATTGAGTAGGTGAAAGGTGATATTATTCAAATTGTTATATGACATTAAGTTCTAATCAGATATAATTCAGTCAGTGTTAACACCCCTGAGGTAGCTATTGTATAGGTGCGGTTTTGTGAATTGTAAAGTGAAATTCTCACACTGAAGTGTTACTTGGGAATGTTAGACGGCTCAAAAACCAAAGAAGGCTCAGGATGTGGAGTGTACTTCAGATAACTAAGCCTAAGGATTAAGTGGGAAAAATGGGAAAAACCCCCAGCGTGGTTCAAACAGAACTGGCTGGTATCTCAATCGCCACAAAAGAAATAACCAGGAAAGGAATTTCTGGCAAAAACATAACAATCTGCACTGGTAGTAGACAAGCCCTATTAGCCTTGAACAGACAACGTGTTACCTCAGGGCTAGTACTGGAGTGCCACTGAGATTTGGCCAAAGCCTCGGTATATAATAACATCATCCTGAGGTGGGTTAAAGGGCACGACAGGAGTAAAGGTAATCGCATTGCCGATTCTTTAGCCTAGGAAACAGTAGGATTTCTGACTGACCTCTGTCAACTAAGGAAATACCTCCATAATATGGGGCTAGTGGACACACCTATACGCAGAATGTGTGAACAAAAAGATGAACAAATAAGAAAGTGTGTGTTCCTGGACACACCTACCTGGAAAGAGCAGGATGGAGAATGATCTAAGAGGACAACTCCCCGGGAGGATGTACAATGGGTCACATGTGGCCTAAGTGGGCCTACACTCACCCTCTCTACTATACAGATACAGATACTTGGGAACGTTATAGATCTTCATCAATTAGCGAGCAACTAATTGCATGGCATATTTTTTTTAAATGTCATGGAGAATATTTTCCATAATTTTCCTCGAGTTGAAACTATTCGTTCTATTCTACGAATCATTTTACAATTCTTTCTCAAAAAATATAAAATGGGGAAACTTAGAAGTCAGTAACTGTATCATGACCGAACATATCAAAACCTTCTTCTGAAATATTTGTTTTCATTTTCAGAATGAAACTGTTTCTTGGACGCCTTGCGTGACAAATATTCGCAGTTTCACATCAGCGTTCCTCTACAGTATCGAGACCCAACACACAATCGGTTACGGAGGAAGAGTTATCACAGAAGAATGTCCAGAAGCAATTTTTGTTATGTGCATACAAAGCATAGCTGGAGTGATGATTCAGGCATTTATGGTGAGTAAAAAATATGAGACCAATTTCAATTTCCACTGAAAACTGATTTCATTCAAATCAGTTATATTCAAATATTTTAAAGATATAAATAAGGAGTTTTTTTCAAAGAAAATACACATATCATAGTATTTTTATATCTATGTTACCTATATTTATTTAATAGTGATGTTTAAGATCAAAGTTATCGTATAACTTTTATAAGAAAAAATATTAGGTTAGAATTTGTGCAAGTGGTAGTGCTTTCGACTCAAGATCGAAAGATCGTAGATTAGAATCCAACCTCGACCAGATATTTTTTCTGAGAAAAATTTTCTAGTTGAAGTTGTGCTGATTTGACTACGTAATATAGATGGCGTTACTGAGGTTAGCCATGATGCTTCTTAGATGGCTAGGGTAGTTAACATTGCATATCTGGAACACTAGGCTGATGTCTATAGTCGACGATACCGTTGACACAGCAAAAAAGTTGCAATAGGAAACCAAGTACATTCCAAATATTATTATCTTCACAGCCAATAACTAATAACTGATCGTTTTGACGAAATCGGCCTATCTGAATTGTCTTCTGGACCAAAGCATTCACATTGTATGAATGATAGGTGTGAAAAAATACCAATGAGTTGGTATCGACCTCATCCTGTAAATGGATTTGTCTATCCTGAATTGAAGCTCATACGAACTTCTGATCGGAGGAGTTGAATATTCGAAAAATCAGGGCGGGACATAAAAGTTGTTCTTGGATTCCCGGGGTTTTTACGACATGCAATTCCTTCATGGGAAATAGGGCCGCAATGAAAAAACAATAGTTTCTTCATAGATCAGCAAATTGTGGAAATTCACATCAATATCGAAGGGAAGATAATTGAATTTGCTGAAAACATACGGGTTTATATTGAAATTTTCAAATTTGAAGATCTTCCTAACCCAGCTTAACAAAACCTGGGTTCTTTGAACATATTTTGGTAGCTTATTGAAAATATTTTCATCATCTCTGCTAATAAAGAAGATACAGATAAAAACCAGAAGAACTGGAGTCGGTTATTTAGTATAATTCAATAGTAAGTACTTCAAAGTAGACAGACATAATCCAACCAACTTTCTGCCTCCCTCTGTTTGGGAGTTTTTTATACACCCCAATTTGAATATATGTTGATATACTTCCATTTTTGATACCTGATAGATAAAGCTATTCAATTTGTCTGTTAACTTCCTATATTTCATATTGAACCTGCTGCACATTACTTTGTTCCCTCTTTCCACATCTCCAAGAAAATGCGATGATAATAAGTTTATTAGCAGTCTCTCTGTGACAATATAAACAATGTACAAAAACAAAGCAGTTTCTTGAAACTATAATAAACAATAATTCCACATCTGAGACAAACACCCAAACAATATCGAAAACTTTTCATCGCCATCTCTTGACATATGCTGGATACACCTGCATTTATACAGATGCTTCGAAAACAGAAGAAGGGACAGGAGCTGCTTTTACCACAGACAACCATCAAGTTTTATTCAAACTTCCAGAAACAGCCACAGTCTTTACGGGAGAACTCTATGCGTTGTGTAGTAATTATTCACACATCATGGGTCAAAACACCATGTAGGTAAGATTACTGGTCCTGAGTTGGTTAGACATCGAAGCCCTACAAAGAATACTGACGTGAAGCCGAAAAATACAATGTTTATATATTGGAAGAATTTAACTTTCAGATCAAAATTTGAACCAGCCTTGAAACTATGCTAGCATTGGTTGACTGATATAAGTTAGACTTATTCAGACACCAAACTTTCACTTCAGCTTGTGATTTTAATTTTATAATACTATGATTGACAATGCCTGATGTACTGTTGTTGAAAAAGAAGCAAATAATATTTATCTGGCGTGAAATGAATCTAATGAAAACACATGTCCTTTACCTGAACAAAAATGTCATTTCTCGATGCGTGTTTCGCTAACCAAAACAGCATCATCCGGAGATGACTTAAACTACGTATTCAATTTGACACATTTCAATGTGAGATTTCCACTTGAAAGTTCACGAAATCGCGTAACGTGTTTCGCTATACGGTAGCATCACAGTATTGTGACGCCCAAAGTTTAGAAATCGAATAAATGTATAAAAAAGGCGAAAAATATGTATCAGTCAGATAGTAAATGATAATACGACAATAACAAAATACCATAAATTAATTTATTGATCCTCATGCAAGGTGAAGATTCGTGTAGATGCATATAAAAACATAAACATGACTGGTAGCGAAACGGTTAGGGCAAAGTGTTTTTAATAGAAAAGCACTTTTAGTTCACACCGTTTTTCACAGTATTCTTTCAATATTTTCAGTTGAAATTTGACGAAAGGTTAAATCAGAAATACNATTGTCTGTCTGATTTTACAAACATCAGTATCTGGTAAATATAAATGCAAGGTAAGGTTAAAATTTTTAGGATTTTGAATAGTTCTTTACAGCTCGTGCGTCTACTTACTCTTTGAATATTTCTGACAGCTCTCTTTTGTAAAATAAACACCCTTTGCGCTTCACTAGATAAACCCCAAGCTGATATGCTATATGAGATTAAAGAGTGAACATGTGCATGATAAAACATAAGTAATACAGATTTGTCCACAATTTTATTAAGTTGATACAGGCAATAGCACATTGGTGATATTTTTTTGCACATTTCATGAATGTGATGATTCCACTTACAATCTTCTGAGAGGTTAAGTCCCAAGAATTTAACTGATGTTACTTGTTTTAACGAACCATTTGATGCTTTTAAAAGTAAGCTGTGATCATACCCTTTTGGTGCATAACTAAATCTTACAAAAGAGGATTTTTTATCATTGCAAACTAATTTATTTTTGGAGAACCAATCCTGTGCTTTCAATATTTCTATATGAGCAGAGTCAACTGTAGCGGAGATGTTTGGTCCATTTACCAGTAAGGTTGTATCATCTGCATACATTACAACATCACCTGCAAAATCATTGACATATATTATATAAAGCAATGGTCCCAGAATAGAACCTTGTGGCACTCCCATGGTATAATTACGGTGAATAGACTTAAACTTGTCTATCTCAACATATTGTGTTCTATTGCCCAGGTAACTTTCAAACCATTTATATGGAATGCCCCTAAATCCATACTTTTCTAATTTATCTAGTAGGATTTTATGGTTAACCAAATCAAATGCCTTACTAAGATCCAAGAAAACACCCAGGGTTCTCTTTCCTTCATCTAGATTATTATATAGTTCATTAAGAAATGTTATTATGGCATGCGTTGTTGACCGCCCTCTTCTAAAGCCAAATTGATTTGCATTAAAGAGTTCATAAAGATCAAAAAAAGAAATTACCATGTGTGCCACACACTTTTCATAAACTTTTGCAAACACACTGGGAACAGTGATGGGCCTGAAATTTTCAACCTGAGTTTTATCACCTGTTTTATACATATGCCATATACACATAATCAAGCTCATTAGTTTTTTGTATTTGAACAAATAGATGACTGACTTGAGAAAATATAATTGTCTCAAATCAAGCATTTCCATTTCTCTAAATAGGAGGTTAGATGATATATATAAAGAAAATAAAAAAAAAGTTTTTGCATAACTTGCAATTTTTGAAGATGTGTATACGATGCAGCAGATACACGAAAATCACCCAGTCAAACTGTTTCTCGAATACAAGTGACTCATAATTTTTTGGAATCAGGTTGGCGTTGTCTTTGCAAAATTATCCAGACCGAAGAAACGGACCCAAACTCTTTTGTTTTCGAGGAACGCGGTAATAAACCATCGTGATGGCGTTCCTTGTCTCATGTTCAGGGTGGGCGACATGAGAAAGAGTCACATCATCGAGGCCCACGTCAGGGCCCAACTGATTAAGCATAAAGTTACCAAAGAAGGAGAACACCTTCCGTTTTTTCAAACAGAACTGAAGGTAAGAGATAAAGTAAGTATATCGGGTGCGTAGAACCTTTTTTATCATTTAACTTCCTAACCATGTAGAATCGAAACAGTGATTAACAATATCCAATAATGTTTTTCATTTCATAACAGTTTTCATTTTGAGTGGTGAAGGTTCAGGTAACTGTTGATCAAAAAGATAGTTTTTCATACCAGATACATCAACAATAATAATGCCATATATAAGTATTTCGGTATATTGCACTAAAGAACTAGTATTTTATGATCTAAGTTCTTCAGTTCCACATTACTCTCCAAGAAACAATTCAATTTCAGGAACGAATGTTGTATTCGCATAGAACCATTGTTTTATTCAAATTTATTTGTACAATGCTCCTTTAATTTTCCAGGTTGGAGGAGACGGAGAAGAGGACAAGATCTTTTTCATTTGGCCAACAACAATCGTTCACAAAATTGACAGTAAATCTCCGTTATATAATATGTCAGCCAACAACCTTTTGAGAGAACGTTTCGAGATCGTTGTTATTTTGGGTAAGAGAAATTTTGGATATCATGTTCAGTACCAATATGTTGAAAAATTTGAAACCCTGGTTCATTACCAAACATTAATCCTTCAATGATTTCTGTTTGGATAGATTAGAAAATATAGTGATAGAATTTCAATTTCGTACTGTCATGAAATGAATATTTATTGAAATAACTTGATTCCATTTGGGTTGAACTTGAAATGTTGAAAAAAATATGGTAAAATATGTTTTTTCCGTTAACCAGCTAACGCATCCCTACGAACGACAACCCTCAGAAGTCGAAACTTTTGCGAGCTGAGGACTAACAAGTACTTACCTTTTAACACGTGATTCATAAATTGAAATGACAAAAATCTATTCGTATTTTGAACTATAATCGAATATCAAATACAATAAATTATTCTTTATGTAACTTCAAAAAAATATGACTAATCATGAGTTTGATTTGAAGCATTTGAAAGAAGTATTATTTTTCTCATTCAACAAAACTACTTGAATGGGAGAGAAAGTTTTTGGCTTTCTACTACTCCACTTGAATGGATTTACCATATCGCGTGGACAGCATCGACATCTTTTTAATTTTATCACCTTCATCGATAGTTAAAAATGTATTGGTCTCTGCTCCATAGCTTCACTTTGTTAAATGATTGCAGAATTGATCTTCTTGATATTAAATTTCAAATTATCCGTTTCTATATATATACCCTATACCCAGTATAGTCACGACGTAGTACTCTCTGTCACTTTGCAATATTACTTTCACTCATCTATTCAAATACGTTGGGTTATCCAACCTGAATGTGGAATGGTGATTCTCCAAACAATCGAAGATCTCGGTTATAGGAGAGGATGTGCTTCTCTACCACAAGCTGGGTATTCATGGTCAATTAATAACACATCCAGCGCTCAAATTCCGAATGTGATGTTTGCTAAAGGTCTTTATTCGAAGTCAAACCCAAAACAGTACTCTAAAGTAATGCCTCTGTCTTGTGACGCAGCTGAAGGTTATTCAAAGTCAAACACAAAACATTTCCTCAAGGTAGGTAGGTAGGTAGGTTCGAAACTTCAAGAAAGTCGCGTAACTGGCTCGAGTTCATTTGAGGCCAAAGTCACCTTGCCGAATATATGGGGAGTAAATGAAAGTCATTGAACGTTAAACCCAAAACAATACCTCTGAATCACCCTGCCTGCGTTATGTGAAATTGCTCAAGGTTGTTCAAGGTCAAACTCAGAACACTTCTTCAAAGTCACCTTGGCTACGACGTATATAGACTTCATTTCAAGGTTGAAAGTGGAGGGAGGAAGTTTCCAAATCGGCTTTGATCAACTACTAAATTATGTATACAGATTAATCACTTCGATGGAAAATTCTAATCAATCGCTTGGAGTTATTCACTATTGAAAAGCTTGGTGACACAGTTTAGGAAGCTGGAATAAGCAGTATCAAACCATTTCGCTACCAATTTTGTGCCATCCATGACGCTTCAATTACTTTGGTTATTGAAACTCAAAAAATTTCAAGTCTTTCATGAAGCTATTATTCGATAAGCTTCATAGTTTCACTGATTGTTTGGAATGAGATATTCTTTCAAGTTGATGTCGTTAGTAAATCCTCACAATCCACAGTCATGTTGAGAAAATGCTGTAGTTCCTTAGAAAGTACTGAAACACAGGCTTTAAAAGCATCATCCTCACCGCAAAGAAATTGACTGAAGAATAAGATATTCTGTATTTAGTGCCACAATTCGACGTGTTGAGCGTCAAGTCAGTGAAACTGCCAGAAATGAGCCTATAATTCGTCCAGGAGAATGATTTCAGGTTAAATTTTCCAACCATTTTGTGGAAACTACATTGTTTTAAGTAAAAGAAAGATTTGAGTTGACAAGTACTCAGAATCTTGGTTTTTTTGTTCAATATAAAAACGGTTCCAGAAAAATCCGATCTTCTCAAACTCCGTATTGATCTCCAATTGAAATTTACTGTAGACTCTGAATCAGATATAGATTGTCGTTTGTTTTGTGATGAACTTTCAAGTCTGCAATATATTTTTGCCTGATCAATGTGGTTACTCCTGTTTTTATTTTGAATTTCTTCACAAATCGTAATTTACAAGAACTGTATCTGAATGTATGGCTAGCATTACAAATATTATTAGCTAAGCTGTTGAAAACCTATCTGCGATCGACAATATCCCAATCTCGAATATTGAATTTTTTTCCTAACACCAAACCGTTATTTCAACACCTCGACACGTGTTTCGATCACCAAGGGATCATCTTAGAGAGGAAGATCAAAGTTTGATCACCAAGTGATTATGTTCAAGAGGAAGATCTCCCTCTGGAAGATGATCACTTGGTGATCGAAACACGTATCGAGGTGTTAAAATAACGGTTTGGTGTTGGGAAAAAACTCCAGTAATATTCATTACTACACCAAAGGTTCCAAACACTGCTTCACAAATATATCAATCTCAATTGACAAATTTGGCACAAAAGAGTTATAAGAAAGCCAAAAAAGTGAAATTTGTTAGTTGTTTTGTTGTTCTTGTAATATAGTGGTTATTTCATCACTTATATCTCTCGTTTTTTCTGTATGGGTTTGTCTTGCCGTTAGGGGGTGCCGTAAAAATCTTGCCTTAGGCGCCAGTAGTGCTGAAACTGGTACTGGCTTGCTTCTCAAAGGCATTAGGAAGCGTTCTTGATGAAAACTCTCCGGGCTCACACGGGTAGTACCACCTCCTTGCTTTCACATGACTAACATCGTCATAATCGAACCAATTTACACAAAAAAATAATGAATAATACGCATAAGCCTACGCCTGAATCACTCCTTCCATTGGAAGTTTTTGAGTTCACCGCGTTCAGACATACGTGGCGGGTGGGACTTTAATTTCATGATATGGAGTGAAACTTGAATTGATAGTGGTTGCTCAATAGAGGTATCACAAAAACCTGTTATTCTAAGTTATAATGTCATTGTTTGTAACCTTTTTTTTAATTTTGCAGAGGGCGTAATAGAATCGACTGGTATGACAACACAAGCTCGTTCCAGTTACCTGCCATCGGAAATACTGTGGGGTCATAGATTCCAGTCCATTGTTTCCTTCAAAAAAGAATCCGGAGAATACGAGGTTGATTATGCGCAATTCAACAATACAGTAGAGGTAGATACACCTCTCTGTAGTGCCAAAGAGCTAGATGAACGTCGGGCTATGTATAGCAATGAAGGCTTAGGTGAGTTTCAGTTTTGTCTCATACAATTGTAAAGCATGAATGATAGCGAATATTGATTGATAATTGAAATATATATTTTGAAATGTTAAATTGAATGATCGATAGAAAACATTGCTATGGTCTGAGTTGTAATGTTTCTCTTCCCGCCGAAATACATAAAACAGAATACGCAGTAACTGGAAAAACAACTAATGATTATTTATAAGCACTATAAAAGCTAACGTTTCCAATACTTCTTCAGAGAAAATTGGAGTGTCCTATGAATGAAGGTTCTTTTTAAAAACTCTCCACATACTAGTGAAGATTGTGACCCTATCTTTCATGAAATACAAAATTTATAATAGATTTACTCGAAAGATAGTCACGATGCGTACGGCAACTCTTCGTCGGTATGCACTACGCAGAAATAGATTACCTATTCTACGTTTTATGGATGCCTGGAGTTCCAATAACTTTCTGATAGAATGTAAAAAAAAATTGACCATAAATAAACAAATGATAATAATACCAACTAACATTACGTTCAACAAAATTATGTTGACCTCCTGAAGAACTGTAAACGATGTTGTTTACCCAGTAAAAGAGTTACATCTCCAAAACATTGTGGCGATGTTACAGAGTGACGTACGGTGTCACGTCACTGTTAGTCTTAATGTTTCTGCAGCGACGTCCTTTACCAGAACAAAAATGTCATTTCTCGACGCGTGTTTCTCTAACCAAAATAGCATCATCAGGAGATGACTTAAACTACGTATTCAAAAAACACATTTATTTCAACTCATGCGACAAGATTTACGATGTGTCTGCGACCAAGTTTTTTTGCTACATCTCTGTTACACGTTTTGTTACGTCGCTAGCTTCAGTTGCTTCGTAACCGTCAATATTGGACTCTGCATGCTGTATTGTTTTAAAATTAATCTGAATATATGCGAAAAAAATCGATAATTTCGCTCAGACTTTTTCAGATGCCCCTCAAGGCAACAATGAGTATGAAAACGAGGGCATCATATTTGAAATATATTTTATGGTATTTTTCACAAATTGTACTCAGTTTTTCGAGATAAATGGGCAACTCTCAGTAATAATTAATAAAATATGGTGTATTTTGCTATGTTATCTATTTCAGGTAGATAATCTGCAATGAAATAATATCCCACCAATCCTTAAAACTGTTGAATCCTGGTTTTCACTGGTCGATTTAAACCAATAATTACATGATATTAGGAAAAACACATTGCAATTGATACATTCTGAATACTGCAACTTGATTAGTTTTTTCAGTTCAATAGAGGTATTCTTGATCAAAACTGCTTGCGTAGCAATTGAAAGAATAGTAGAGATTCGTACAGATATTGATCAGTGATAATCAAATAAGCGGTTACAAAATTCTTTAAATTATTTTGCAATAGTTTTCACCATGATACTAGCTTATAGTGATGAATTCTTTTGCCAAACTGCCAGGTCACGTTTTTTGAAGAGATGATCTCGGCAACTCCTAAGCACAGATATGTCTTTTGATATCGCACTGAAATAGGAATAGAGAGCACACTTTACATGTATCCGCTGGATTTTTGAAAATATATATTAGAGGCATATGAATTCATCTCCAGTAATCCGGTATTCTATTCCTAGTAACACTTTCTGTTCTGATGATATCATCTGGTCCTGCGGCATTCTTAGATCACTCCTTTTGTGAGTTGGTGATTCATTTCATTTGCAAATTGAGACGAAGAACAGTAATTGCATATCATTAAAATGATAATGTTTGTTCTTGGAAACAACCAAAAATGAATATTTTGAGAACTTTGGAAGATAAATTGAATATTACAAGCAAACTATGATTATGAATTCAGACGAGTTGGTTGAAATAATCCGAAACCTAGTAGCAATTAGACAACTAGTAGGTACTGAGAAACAATAATGAAAATTAATTGTTTATATAATTTAAATTTCTCTCTGAATAGAACTCGTCTAAAGAATAATAGGCCTTTGAAATCAGAAGCTTTTTTACCGACTTTCCAAATTTAGTGGTACATGTTATGCCTTTGATCTCAATTGGCAAATGGTAAAAAAATCCATTATTTATGGAAGACGTTTACATTTTTGATGATATTGTAATCGGTTAACCTATATTGAGAGCTTATTTCTGGTCTTCGTCGTGGTGAAATGAAAATGTCCGTTCTATATTTTTTTTGCATCAGACATACCATTTCCAATATAAGTATGGAAGGCAAGGTCAAGATTTTATGCCTTCTGAATAAAGGTCGACAGGAATCCCTGAATCCAACTCTAAACATATTTCTAACTCTTCTTTTTTGTGGTACTAACACCCTATCAAATATGTATTGGCAACACGTTCCCCAAAAACTACCGTATCTCAGATGAGAATCAATGAGAGCAAAGTACAATTTTTTTTCCATATCAGTGCCCAACTCATTTGCTGATACTCTGACTGCAAAGCATCGTGCTGAAACTTTTTTACATAGGTTACTTATGTGAACTACAAAATCCAAATTTTTATCAATTTTTAATCCCAGAAATTTTGCTGACATTTTGTTTTCTATTAATTGAGTACCTAGGTGGATATCCAGTGTGGAGCACTTGAGGGTGATGATGCTAGTTTTTGAGATATTAAATGACAAGGGATTAGCATTACACATTAATGTAGTATCATCAGCGAATGCGGGCTAGGTCGTTAATATATAACAAGAAGAGAATTGGGCCTAGAACCGATCCTTGTGGACCACCACAAGTATCTGTCTGGAGATGGGATATGTTGTAGCAAACTTAAACAGTAAAATTCTGATCTCCTTCAGATGAATACGAAATGATATTATTCATATGTGAGGAAAACTCAAACTTTCACTCATCTCGTGAAAGTGCTCAGTTCTGATGTGGGAGAAAAATGAGGAAGACGTATTTCGATTGAAATACGTAGAGATGTGATTACCTAAAATGGTCTTCAGAAGGGAAATCTTATGTGTAGAACTTTTTTGGCGACCAACAACATATTTTTTTTAATTCAACTGAAAATATTGTTGTTGATCGAACACTGAAAACTTATACTTGAAGAAAAGTATCGAAATATATCAAAAAGCATATCTGGAAAGTTAAAGTTAAATTCACAAAATATCGTTACAAGTGCCGTGATTAATACAATTTCTTTTTTTGCAGAAGAAAAACCTAGATTCTTGACAATTGGTAAGATTTTTGTGTTTGCTTCAGCTTCTTAAATCATTATTCTCATTCCTAAATCGGCATCGTAGCTTTGCTTTGCCCACACTTCATCTGATATCAGTGGATTATATTATACAGAAAGAAACAGTTTTTTCGTTTTATTCTGGCTCCAATCCATAGATTTTTTTTCTTCTGGCAGCTGGGAAGCTTATCTTATATTCATATATCTGCAAAAATAAGTTTAGTTGATCTCAAAATCGGATCGTTTGATAATAGGAAACAACATAAATCACTAATCTAATAACAAAAATCATCCTGACTTGTCTTTTTCTCCCAAGTCCCACATTTTCGTGAAAATCGTGTTTCCTGTTTCAATTTGTACAGGTTCTTCGTTCGGATTTTCTGAAACTAATGTGGTTTGGCCATAAATTGCTTGTCTCCATGATGAGCTATTTCTGCCCGTTTGTTGCACTATCTAAGGTCTCCGTTATACAACTCTATAACTCTGGTTATATACAAGGGTAGTGAGACCCATGATAACATACGGTGTAGTGACTTGACGGACAAGAACAAGGCAATCGGGTACGGCTAGGCTATTAGGCGGCATACAACAGCTGGCCTGCCTAAGTGTCACGGGAACCATGAGAACGACACCAACTGCAGAACTTGAGGTCCTACTCGGACTTCCACCATTGCACATCTACATACAAAGAGAAGCTCGACTGGTGACACACAGGCTAATGCAGGGGTGAATCCCCAATCAGCTAGTCACACGATGCAGAATACTTGAAACTCGACAATGAACTGAAGGCAGATCCAATACTAGGAATGCCCGTGGATAACACAGTTCCGCAGTACAACTTTCAAAAAGATTTCAAAATCATCATACCAAGTAGAGAGGACTGACAAAACGGCCCACCGGTAAAAGCGGAAGAAACTTGGTATACAGATGATTCGAAGACCCAAAAAGAAGTCGGAGCCGGTATATACGGAAGCAGAGCAAAGACGAGAATCGCAATCAGCCTCAGACATAATGCAACTGTGTTCCAGGCAGAAGTAGCGGCCATCGAACACTGTATAGGGGAAATAAACAGGCAGAAGGTCACAAATAAAACTATTGCCGATGTTCTAGCCTGTGAAGGTGCATCCTAGGCTATGATCGGCCCAGAACCCTTCTGCGGGGTAGCGAAAGCATGTATAAAGACATCCATAAATTCATAGATGCCAGCCGAATCGATTGATTGGTGAAATAAGCTCCCAGGAATGAGGCAGGCGGAAGAGTTCGTAAAGAAATCATCGCCCAGATTCACGGAAGACCTGCTAAACCACAACTGTAAGGTTGTAAGGATAGTGGTGGGTCCACTAAGGGGGCATAGCCGACTCAGGAAACATATGAGCAACAAGGGTCTGACAGAAGAAACACAATGCAGGTTCTGTCAAGAAGAGGAAGAAACCGCACTGCATGTGCTCTGTGAATGCGAGGTGATAGCAAGGCTGGGACACGCAAGATGCGGGAACGAGAAACCATAGGCTGGCAACTATATGAAGGGGTCATTGTAAAGGCTACGGAGTCTCATTAAAGAGATTAAGCTAGAAAATGAGCTCTCACAACCAAGGAGCATCACGATAGATCTGAAAAGGTCGCAGTGAATCAGGCCACGGGCTAGCTGCTACCCGTTAATCTAATCTAATCTATACAACTCTATTTTTCTGGTTCCCTTATATTGTCCATTTAGTAGCCCTGCAGTTATTCTGAGTCTACCGCTGCTTTGTTAAAGCAGTTTTTCCTCAGATCGTTCTTTTATGAAGTTTTCTTTATGTTGAATCTCACTAGTTCGGACTTTCATTGTCTACTATATAAAATGATTTGAAATCCCTGAAACAACTAAAAAAGAAGAATTAAAAATGAATAGCTGAAAATAACAATTATATTTATTGAAATAACTTGATTCCATTTGGGTTGAACTTGAAATGTTGAAAAAAATATGGTAAAATATGTTTTTTCCGTTAACCAGCTAACGCATCCCTACGAACGACAACCCTCAGAAGTCGAAACTTTTGCGAGCTGAGGACTAACAAGTACTTACCTTTTAACACGTGATTCATAAATTGAAATGACAAAAATCTATTCGTATTTTGAACTATAATCGAAAATCAAATAGAATAAATTATTCTTTATGTAACTTCAAAAAAATATGACTTATCATGAGTTTGATTTGAAGCATTTGAAAGAAGTATTATTTTCCTCATTCAACAAAACTACTTGAATAGATTTACCATATCGCGTGGACAGCATCGACATCTTTTCAATTTTATCACCTTCATCGATAGTTAAAAATTTATAAGTCTCTGCTCCATAGCAGAGCGAATGTGATGTTGCTGTAGGTCTTTCAAAGTCAAATTAAAAAGTCTAGAAGCCGCCTCGTCCAAGCAGTTGAAGTCGTTCAAGGTCGAACCCTTAAAACTTCAAGATATCCGCGTGAAATGGGGGGGTGAGCCAAGGTACTCTAAATTCTCCATCATGTGACGTAGCTGAAGGTTATTCAAAGTCAAACACAAAACATTTCCTCAAAGTTACCTTGGCTACGTTGTGCCGTGTAGGTTCGAAACTTCAAGGAAGCCGTGTGACTGGCTCGAGTTCATTCGAGGCCAAAGTCACCTTGCCGAATATATGGGGGAGTGAATGAAAGTCATTGAACGTTAAATTCAAAACACTACCTCTGAATCACCTTGCCTGCGTTATGTGAAGTAGGTCAAGGTCGTTCAAGGTCAAACTCAAAACACTTCCTCAGAGACACCTTGGCTACGTTGTACGACGTATATAGAGTTCATTTCAAGATTGAAAGTGGTGGGAGGAGGTTTCGAAATCGGCTCTGACCAACTACTAAACTATGTATACAGATTATTCACATCGATGGAAAATTCTAACCAATGGCTTGGAATCATTCACTATGGAAAAGCTTAGTGACACAGTTTAGGAAGCTGGAATAAGCAGTGTCAAACCATTTCGCTACCAAGTTTGTGCCATCCATGACGCTTCAATTACTTTGGTTATTGGAACTCAGAAAATTTCAAGTCTCTCAAGAAACTATTATTCGATAAGCTTCATATTTCACTGATTGTTTGGTATGAGATATTCTTTCAAATTGATGTCGTTAGTAAATCCTCACAATCCACAGACATGTTGAAAAATGCTGTATTTTCTTAGAACAATACTGAAATACAGGCTTTGAAAACCTCATCCTCAGCGCAAAGGAAGTGGCTGAAGATTAAGATATTGAACCTGTATTTAGTACCACAATTTAACGTGTTGAGCGTCAAGCTAGTGTAACTGCCAGAGATGAGCCTATAACTTGTCCAGGAGAATGATTTGAGGTTGAATTTTCCAGCCATTTTGTGGCCTGGTTTTCGTGAGGCTGCTACGGATAGTGTTACCGAAACTGAAGCAGGTTCTCATGTTGTACTTAGAACCAATTCTTCTTATCCTCTCCGATAATCCTCTGATGTAGGGAAGTGCAAGCACTGGTTGTGACGTCTTCTCTTCCTTGCGAGGCTCCTGCAGTCTTTTAGCCAAAGTCTTTGCTACCATCGCTTTGGAGTAGCCATTCCGTTGAAGATAATTTTTGATGATGTCTAGTTCCTTCTAGGGACCTTCCTTCGTATCACAGAGCCCAAAAGCACGGTCTAATAGAGTCATGATGATTCCTCTTTAAGGCGATTGATAGTGGTTGGATTCGTGGTTAGATACTGTCCCGTATGAGTGGATTTTCGGTATACAGATGTTTCCCACTTTGTGTCGGTCGTCTTCACCAAAATGTCTAAGAATGGCAATTCATTTTGGATTTCCTTCTCCATTGTGAAAGTGATGGAAGGTCTCACGCTGTTGATGTGTTTCAGGAAAGCGTCTAGTTCAGTATTCCCATGGTTCTATATTATGAAGATGTCGTCAACATATCCCAACCAGACTTGAGGTTTCTTGTGGGCTTCTTCAATGGCGAGAGTTTCAAACCACTCCATATATATGTTGGCTATGACTGGTGAAAGTGGCGATCCCATTGGCAGTCCCTCATCTTGTGTAAAGAATTCGTCCTTCAGTTGGAAATAACAGTTTCGGACAAAGCATCCTAGTAATTCCATAATTACGAAACTAATTAGTTGATCTTCCTGTGTGACCTCAATTGACCCTAGTTGTTCGACCAAAAACGCCCTGAATTCTTCACGAAAGACGATGTTTTTTCTTGTAATGCTTGTATTAAGGGAAGTAAAAATCTAGACAAGTTTTGAGTAGCCGAATCTCTGGAGCTGATGATCGGTCTAAGCGGAACGTCCTTCATGTGGATTTTGGGTAGTCCATACAAGTGAGGGGGCTTACTGTGGTGCGGTGTTAGCGATGATCTTTTCTTGTATGAAAAATAGACTTGGTGTTTTTTCAAAAACTGGTACAACTTTCTTTCGATTGATGCAGTAGGGTCCCGTACGATCTTTGTGTATCGTCCCTTCTGAAGAACCTCTTCGATCTCCTGTTCGTAGAAAACGGTATCCACTACCACAGTAGCATTTCATTTATGTGCAGGTAGGATCTTGATGGTGTTGTCTCTACGTAGGCCGTTCAGAGCTTCATTGCTGATGTTAGATGTTGGAACTGGTTCTCGATCCAGCTGTTCTCTAATTTTCCATCTGAACTCTTCTGACTCGGTCTGGTCAATAAGTGAACTGGTGGATTCCACTGCAGTAATTATCTCCAAAGTGGGCACATATGTTGTCGTAACAAGGATTCCTCTATTCCCGTGAGCGGGCGGTAACTCATGTTAATGACGTTAGCGGCTTCATAGTTGTCCTGTTTTCGGTTTGTATTTGGGCATTGTTTCCTCACTAACTTTCCCCACTTCCTGTTGTGGATATTATCCATGTCTTGGCGGATCTTCAAGCACGTGCTTTCAATCTTGGCAAAAATTGGTCCATGGTCCACCTTCAACAAACGTTTTCTTTATGTGTTTCCGGGGGTACTTTCCCATCATTGATCC